GAATCATGGTAACAGCTACAAGATTTCTGAAGACTAGGAGGCTCAGGGAAGAAATTGCAGAGCTCATAACTGCTTGGAGGATCTTGCCACAGGAAGGCAGAGCTGCACTGCAAGCCTTGGATATAAGTCTAGATTAAAATAAAGACATAATATTGCCAATGAAACTTAGAGGCTGTGCCATCACATTGCTCACACACCTGCAGCTGCCAACTAGAACTTGTGCTTTTTTCCTTGACAACATTACCATTTCCTATGAGTTCCTTGGAGAGGCTCAGCTGCAGCACAGTAGCTCAGCACTTCTCCTTCCACGTGCCCTTGTGCAGGTCGTGCATGTCAGAGGGGAAGAATGAACCACCTGCCTGGGACCAGGAAGGACCAGATCAGCAAGGAAGGTGCTTCAGGGGAGCAGTGGTGAACCCACGATGCCCCCACCTTGAGTATCAAACCTGCATTTGTTGGTACTCGTTACTCTGCTCTTGGGGAATTTCTCCTCCATGATCTATGATGTGCTGTTTATCCAGGTATAAGTCCTGGGAGCTGTGTGTGTACAGACTCTCCCCAGCCTTGGCAAAGCCCTCTGGGGAGCTGGAATGACACTGCACCGGGGCCGCAGCCGAGCTGGCTGGGGCTGCCAGCTGGGGATTGTCACAGTCTGACAGCAGGGAGCTGGGCTGGCTTTCTGAGCAATGAAAATACTGCCCTTGATTAGGATGGTGGCTTGTTTTCTGGCATTGTTGGCATCTATGCCAAATAGTTTTGTCATCATCAGTATTGTAATGTCTTGGCCTAGAGCAGTGGTAACCCTTGCCTTTCCTGCAACCACAGGGACGACGCTCTTTGACCTGTTAATGAATAACTAATGAAAAGTGCAGATCTTCACATTGCAAATTATGTAACAAATCCAGGAAACCCTTCACTAGCTGATCTCAGTTTCTTCTTTACTTTGTAGAAGGCAGGAAAGGGATGATAAAGGGTTAGAAACAGAAAAGTACCTGGACAAAGCAAACAACTCATGTTGGTTTCTGGGGCAGAAGTTTCTGTCCAGATTTTCTACCACAACTCCTCCATTGATAGTAAGCAATGGGCAACAGAAGCTGCAAGATAAAGAGAGATACAGCAAACATTTTCCTGCTATGGCACATTAGGTGATGTCAGAAGGACATTAAATATGGAGGCCAAAATACTTCCCATTTTTTCAAGTTTGCCTTTGGTGATGCCATGGAGGAAGAGTCTCTTCAGGAACAGGCTCAGGTATCCCCAAATCTGAAAGACAGAGCATGGGGAGAAGGGAAAGAAAGATAAAGAGATAAAGTCACTTATCACCACCTGCTAAACACAACCTCCAATAAAGATACTGTTCCTTTCCTGAATTCTTGCACAGAAAATCTGCCTCTCTGTAATGGAAATATTGTCCCATCTCTCTTAGGCTGGGATTTAATTATCAAAAGGGTTTTCCTCCCTTAAAAAGGTTTTTTTTAGAAAGAAACATTCCATTTGAGTCAAACTGCAAAACTTACATCTCAAAATAGTTAAACAAATATTTTCGCTATTTCAATTTTATGTTGTACGTTGGGAAATATTAATTGTTACTTCATACTTTAGTTAGCATTTTGAAAAACATAAAACTACATTTGAAAATGAGCAAGAATTCATTTAATGTTCTTTAAAGGAAGGAAGCTCACTTCAGGCCTTTTGAAACAGCATTAATAATTATATTTTTTTGGCCAAATATTTGTGGAGCTGTTATGATAAAACTAAGTGGTATTTTCTGATTTAAAAAAAGAAAATGCCAGAAGGCTTCTAACAATCTGTGCCAGAGCTGCCAGGGCCACATCCCATGACCTTTTCATGGGAGTGCACGTGACACTGGTAGTACAAACTGAGCAGGAACTGTCCACACACTCCAGCCAGGGAATAGGACACAGAAGAACATTAAACAAGATACCTCAGCTCTGGGATGTACAACACAGTTGTGTGGACATAACAGACATTCTCAACAGTGAAAGAAAAGTGACTCCAGAGCTGGAACACATCGATAGCTTTGGGTCAGACCTCAGCCAGGCCCTTTTTATCCAATTTCCCACAGGTGACCACATCCAGGTCTCACCTATGGATCACTTCTTAACCTGATGGTCCTTTTCTCCAGGCTGCTGTGTTTTAGACCTTACTAATACAGACTCTGATATCATCCCTCCAGTTGTGATACTTTTAGAAGGTATTTAATGCCCACAATGAACCTGGGCAAGTGCAGAATACCATACACACACACAAAAAAAATTGGCATGGTATGTAATTAACCTTCTTTAAAGGTTTCGTTAGAAACTCTTAGAGCCCTCTAGTTACCATGTCTACTCTATTCAAACACAAGGCAGTAAAGATTCGTTGCTGAATCAGTGGCTCTGAACAGGGTATGAACACAATTGAAATGTCAGGACAACAAACCAACATATCAGCACTGGATACAGAAGGTGTATCCATGCAGCCTGGAAAGGTATTCAAAAAGAAAAACACAGTTCCCTGGACTGAAATCTGAATGATTCCAGCTTCTGCATGATCTCAAAAAGCCCAAAATGTGCCTTTTACAAAAAAAATTAGTTATGATGGTGCCACAGAAGTGCAGCACAATCACAGACTGCAAAGGTCAAAGCTCACTTGGGCAATGCCATCAAGTTCCCAACAGTCCAACACCCACATCCCATCGGCTGGAGCATCGCAGGCATTGCTGATGAGGAAAAGCATCAACAGCTCAACAGGCAGTTGCCAGCAACACGATGTCCCCAACATTGCAACAGGACAATGACATCAGCTGAACATGACAAGTGAAACAAAGGCAGCCCATTTCCTGCTAAATCACACGGACCAGTTCCTAACCTCATCATGCTTTTAGTTAGAGAACAGGGTAAGACAATAAAGAGGGCATGTATTACATGCATTCTCAGAAGGACACAAAGGCTGACAGATCAGTTGATCTGCATTTTTGAAGTCAAGTCAAGCTCGTGAATGAAGCGTATGGATCAGTACTAAACCAGGAATCCACTCTGCTTCTTAGAGTATGATTTTCCTTTTGCCAGCCTCGGGGTGCCAAGGCCAGTCCAACCTCAGAGGACGTTTTCACCAGCCTACAAGAAGAAAAACAACTCTTCTGTTTCCTTACCAGAAGGGTAGTCATGACAGAACTACCCATGAAGGTAAGGAGGCCTACTAAGAGCAAGTAGGTTACTATTAGTGAACATTTCCCTGGGCCAAGCCAGTTCAGAATCGTTTGGAGAGTTCAATCATCGCTCTCATCTCCCTACTGCTCTTGGCAGGACCACCAAAGAAAAGTGCTCAGATGATGAACTGGATGACCTCAGCCATTGAGAAAGACACAGGTCAGCACTACAGAAGGACTCCAACTGCATCACGCAGCCTATGGCTGAACAAAAGCTCTATAGGAGAAGGGTTCAATGAAAAAGGTTTTGCTAAGCTGTTCTCTTTAAATACACATCTCCCATCTTTCTGTGGTTTTGTGAAAAGCTGTTTTAGTCCAGTGAATGTGTTTCTGAAATGCTACATGCCCATGTTTGAAGTCTGACAACACTCGACAGATGTAAAATTTGTTCTTTATAATTATATAGATACTGTTCCATAATTAAACATTAATGCTTAAACCACCAGCTACTGTCTGCAACAGACCAAGAATGAACATTACATAGAAAAGGGAGACCTCCAAGGAAAAGAGTCAGGTATCTGCAGAAAGCAATTACTTGTCAGTAAGTGATACCTGAGTCCATATAAATCCCACCCTGTGTTACACCAGGAGCCTGGCAGAGAGCTGTCCTTCCAAATAAAAAAAGATTGTAAAGATTGTATTTGAATTCTAGTTTTAGTCGTTTGGGAACAGTTTGAGCTACTGCATTATCTGTGCACTTTACTGAGTACAGTAATCATGGCCTATTCTGAACAAAATGTATCTCCTTTTGTTGAAGGCTGCCAGAGGAAGGTGATTGAACCAGCTGACAGTGGGTCAGAAAAGGACATTTGAACCTTTCTGGCATAACTGTAAGTACCTCTGGAGGAGCTGAAGGAAATCACTGGAGTTTTGCTTCATAGCATTCAGAGGAACTGAACATCACTCCCCTTATCTGGTCCAGCAAACCAATAATCAGCATTTAAGAAACATTAATGACACAAAGCATTCTGTATCAAACTACAAAGCATTTGTTAATACACCATCAAGAAGGAGAGACTTAGCTGACTGGGGTATTTAACATGCAGTTTCCAGCATTTTTCTGTTGCTACAACAAACCCATTGTTGCATCTCAGGATATCCACACCTCACACGTGGAAACCAGTTATTGCCTGCAAAAATACACTGGGCAGTAAAGGGTAAACCTTCCCTATGCACAGTTGAGAGTATTACCTTAATCTTTTATCTAGGCCTGCTTTTCAGTGGCACTTGATACAGGAGCTATACCAAACACTTCCTTGAATACATAAAGCCAGAGATTGTGTTACACAGGGTTGAAGATCTATGCCACGAGTAAGACAAAAGCTCCTATATTACCTGGCACATGCCTGCTAAATTATTGAAGTGTCTCTTCAAACTGAATATATTCACTGGATAATTAGTCAACAGAAGAAAACGGTCTCTCTTTACAAAGCTAATGTTGACAGGTATTGTATCTTTTATGCACTGCAACAAAAAGCATTTGCCGAGCTGATGCAACACAAACATTTGGAACTGCTCGTCAATGTGCAAGTGTTCCCAAGGCACTTGGTCCCCTTTGTGATGCTGCCTCAGTCTCATATTGCCTTACAACCAAGTCCTAAACAGTGTGAATTACTTTTAATGATGCATCCCCCCCCATTTCAGGTAAATGGCACAAACACATGAAAGTTTGTTTTGCATTTGAGGAAGGAGTGAGATCAAACTGGCACAGGTACCAACCTGACCCGATGCTGTGCCCACCTCTGTCAAGTGGGACCTACCTGGGCTGTGCAGACAAGTCACTGCCACTCTCAATTTGTAATTCTTGTAGTTGATAACCCAACGTGCCACTCCAGCAGCTGGATTCTCGTGGGCTCGTTTCTTGGGAACACAGGCTACTCCATGTGTACACAGAACACCCTGCACAACAGCAGTCCCAGCATCTGCCTGCTGGAACCATCCCAGCCAGCCAGCTGATGCTGCTCCGTTTATTCTGACCTTGCAAGGGAAGAGCAGCAGCAGTTTCCACCCACGAAATGGCTGTCCTGTTGCTGAGAGCAGGAGGATGGGCCCTGCACTGCCTGGGTATAAACCTAAGTGTACCTGGAAGTACAAAAGCTGTTTGAACACGAACTGCAGGATGAAATACACAATTCTACCAACTCCAGTTCACAGCCCGAGGTGTGCAAAGACAACATTCTGTCAACGCAATAATACTACTGGTGTTTTCCTTCTTTTAAGTTAAGCCTGTTGCACCTGACACTAAGGGGACAGACAGGATTTTAGGGATCTTCAGAGTGAAGACAGCACTAAATTGTAGTTACAGTTAAAGCTTTCTTAAAGACGATATTATGATTAGTATAGCATAGAATTTATGATTAGTATGTCACAGGATTTCTACAAGAAGAATCAATTTAGTACAATCTATAAGTAGAATAATACAGAATTTATAACACAAATTATAATTTCTTATCACCAGGACTCTCTGCAGGTTGGAGGACCTTAGAACATGGTTTGCTGTATCAATACAACAATCATAATACAGACTTGGAAATCATGTAATAGAATAAGAGTCACTCATTCAATCCTGAGGAAGCAGAGGATGGAGGAGGCAACTGTGGCCACGGGGGGGTCATGGGTCTCACTGTTCAGCACCAGTTTGGGTCCGAATTCTCCACTTAGGATTTCTAACTCTGTGACTTTATAGTCAGTGCTCCGGGTGCTGTTACACCTCCCTGTTGGGTGGTGGGATCATTAACAGCACTGGGCTGGCCAGGTGCCTGGGACCTTCCAGGCCAGTAAGGAAGAGAACAATCGGCCTGGAGCCCAGGAATCTTGAGGCCAGCAGGGAGGAGAAGAAGAAATATGTTTGGTTGACTTGGTTCACAGGACCTTCAGGGCCTGATAGTGAGGAAAGGGGAACAAATAGATGACAAATAACTGTACTTTGTATTAGAGCACACGTGCAGCAGCACTGCCAGCTCCTCGCAGAACTCCAGTGGAGACAAGCATTGCAACCAGGGCTGCAGGGAGAGCTTTCCTCGGGAGCCATCAGCACTGCCATCGCCTGGCACAGCAGCAGATTTACAGCAACGGCTTTGAACTGGAGCATTTTGTGCATTCTGCAACTGCTGGTGTAGAGAATGTTATCAGGGAATTTGTTCCATTCATTACTGTGTGCTGCAGCACCGGATGGTGATTCTCACCTGGCTGGTAAAGGTGAACAACCCAAGGGAAACGTTTTACACAGTGAATCTCCATCAAAGACTTTTGAAAGAAGTTAGTCTCACCTCGCCCCAGACTGCAAATGACACTTAGCCAATCTGGAGACATAAAAACATAACAGCATTTCATTTTGCCCTGGTTCATCTCTACAAACACAGTAGAAAAAGCAAAGGAGAAATAAGTGCTTTCTATCATTTCAAAGGCCAGACACTGTGAACCTTGTGACAGTGGTTTGACACAATTTGTCCAAACACATCTGCAAACAGCACTTTTCCACAGTTAAATTAAACCAGGCCTAAGCAATAGTTTAATTGAAATGTCCCACATATGCCTAACCCCACCTCGATCTCAAATCCATACCTCTCTGGAAAACAACTCAAACAGACCCATTTCCTGGCCTAGGTGCTAAGCTGGAGTACTCACCAATTCAGTATTGCATTTCCTCTGACAGATGGTAAATTAAGACACTGCCTGCCTGCCATTGTGCAAACATGTCTGGTTTCATTTGTGAAAGGCTTTAGCAGACAAACTTTGCAATTGCTTAGTTTTCTGAAATACACTTCATTAAACCAATGTGCAAAACCACTGACACGTGAGAGTAGCAGGTGGAAACTCATCTACAAATATTGTAAAATATTCCCATTTTGGGGGGCTTAACTGAATTGCTCTTTATGCCAAAGATTATTTTTGTGCAATAAAACACCAACATTGACAGCAAACTTTAAAAAAACCGGTGAAAATAGGAATCTTACATTCTTCACTCAGGTTTTTTTGACAGGTAACTGCCACAGAATAGCAAGTTAATACATTTCCAGAAATGCTCTAACATTTATTAGTGTGTGAATAAGCTCTCACTTACGTTTGATGCTCGAAGGCACACAGCTGTGTGTACTTTACAACTCAGCCTCACAATAATTCCAGGGAGGAGTAAATTGCCAATGTGTTCTCTTAACTTGGGTAATGGAAAACAAATCAGTTCAAAGTTTGACTCTCTCCTCCCAGTTGAATATATCTAATATGCACAGCAACATAATGGAAAATATGCCCGTCTAAAATTAGTCTGAACAAGCAGCAAGTGATGACTAAATAATTCTGAAGCCTCACTGACAAAGAAATTGAGTCCAGCAGGAGAATAACTACTCAACATATCAACACGTAACAAATTACAAAACAAGACTGAGCAGTGCTGGCTTTAGTGTCCACTTAAGTAGGTTCAACTCCATGGGATTCCCACAGAAATGTACCTGCTGAACTAATCTATTTTCTCTCACTCAATTCACACTGTTGAGTATTTAAACTAAAAATACCAGATTCTTTAAAACAAGAAACAATAATCCATTCCATTCTCCCATGTTAACACCAGTGGGAGTTCTGCACATCAACCATCACATCCACCTAATCTTGAGCCTGCAGTTGCTTGGTGGCATTCACTTGACTGGGAAGTCTGGAAAAATGTGCTAACGATCAAAAATTGCTGCATAACAATCGCAACCTTAGGAAAAAAAAAATCAACAGAAACAGAAAAAATGTTTGAGGAAATGACCAGCTATTGATATAAGTGCTGGGAACTCTTTCCTACCTTAAAGAAAACAAACAGTTCATGAATGTGAAATCTAAAACCATGTAATATATAGAGATAGCAAGAAAAAAAATTGTCTTGAGAAATAAAAACATAGAAGAGATCATCCCTGTTGAAATACCAAGGAACTTGATTCATTCTTACAAAATAAAAGACCTTTCACACCAGTTCTCCCAACTCCTTCACCCAAAACCACAGGAATCATTTGTAGTGAAACAGCAATTGGAAAATGCATTCAATTCCCAGCTGGAGGAAAAGGAGTGGACTTTCAGAAAATGCCTCTGAATTACAGCGAAAGGACAAAAAGCTGCTTCTAGAAGTGAACACACCACACTGTCCACGGTATTATAAACAGAACTTTTGAATATAAAAAAGCATTTAGTAAAAATTTTATTTGAAATGCGGCATGAATCCATAACCATAAGCAATAAAACATAACAGTTTTACAGAGAATTTGTACAATATGACATGTATTTCTATACATGCGCCCCCCCCTTTTTATTCAGTCGTTATCAAATAAACAAGTTAGACAGGAATAATAAGCATTCACTTCTGAAAAGAAAACTTTGGCATGTATACAACTGACTAGTTAAAAGTAAACAGTGGTAGATTCAAGTCAGAAAGAGACCCACTCGCTTTGTTTCACAGCACTTTTGATCTGGATGAAGCTCCCCAGCACTACTTTCTAGTTACTACAAAAATGACTATTTTTTTCAGTCCTGAACACCCTGTTCCAGGACAAAATCATGTTAAGAGAGACGCAGAACAACCAACTTTTAACACTAAAAGGTGTCAGTTTCCAAGCAGTTTAAGTCACAAGAATTTTGCACACATTGGTTTGGTCACGAATAAAACCTTTAGTGGTTTGCTTGTGTTACTGAACATTTTAACACTTGGCACCACTGGCAACTTTGAACTAGAATAAGCATGAGTGGCTCAAAGTTTGTGACCATTGCTGGAGCGTTAGAAAAAACTAAACTAAAGTTTGCACTGGGCCCATCTTCTGTCTTGAGTTTCTGTCACTGCTGTTGGCCCCTTACATACCTTCCTACTCATCTGAAAAAAGGAGGAAAAACAATTTGCAAAGCATTTCTTCCTGGCATACAGCAGACAATGCTTCCATTTCAAAAACCAGAAAGCAATGAAAGAACCCCTGAATTATTAATAAGAAAAAACAAGCCTCCTTTGAGAAGAATTACTGGTGATTCTTCAAGTACTTACAAAAAATACAGTATTTATACAACATCTCCAGAACTATTATAATTAACAAATTTTAATGTTGTACTAACAAAATAAATCCATAGATACAAATGGTTGTACTTCAAAGCAGGAATATCTACCCCAGATGTTGATTTTGCTGCAATTTCATTATTGCTGTGGAACAGAGAGTGGTTAAGTCATGTCATTACGAGACTCTCTTTCTTAAACACATCAGAGTATCTAATTTGAAAAATGTTCTCCAGCAAGTCAGATTACATTTAATGTAATTTTTACAATTCCTGCTAAATGTTTGTGATCCAAAGTCAACTGAACCATGGTGCAACAGAGCCCAGATGGCAAAAGAGCAGAGGCAGGAACAACAGAACAAGTAGAGTATCACAAGTCACACTCTACTTCTTATTCCTGGGCTTTAGCTCTTCTGCTGCATTTCGCAGAAAAATGTAGTTTTTCTTCTGTGGATTATAGAATTCATGACCCTAAAAAGAAAAATAATCTACATTTACTCTCTTCAAACAAGAAATATCAGCATAACCTTAAAATGTAAGAATATAGATATTCCATTAGTTTTGTTTATTAAGGCTTTATTTGAAACCTTTTAAGACCAGATATTGGACCACGTTGGTGGATTAGAAAGAGCTTACTATAACAAGCAATTATTAGAACTGTGCATATAAAGTAATATTTAACAGATGTGTATCCATTTTAAAAGTATAAAAAAAATAACCACACATCTCTAAGTTCTACTTTACAGATGCAGCACAAAAACTCAGTATACTGATTTTTTTAAACCTTTAAAGGTCACCCAGCTTCACTCTGTATTTTCTCTCTTTTAAATGACACAAGGTTACACCTTTTCAAAATGAAGCCCAAGTTCTACAGGCAACTGCAAAATTATCTCTTCCCCAACTGCAGATGCAAATATGTCATTTTGCATGTTGACATGATTTGCATCCACATTACCAGCTCAAGACCCAAGTATCCAAATCAGGGAGAGTAAACACTAATAAAGCCACTGAAGTCCAACATGCAAGCTGGAAATTACCAACGCTACGGACAGAAATGGTTCTGGGAAGGAAGTTTAGTACTTAACACCTACTGGTTTTACTACTTAATATTGATTTACCCTGGTCCATCTCTACCACTGCAGTCTACCCAAGCATTGAAGTGAAGAATTCATCTGCTCTGGCATTGGGAAGTTATCTTACTTTGGGCAAAAGACTAGATACAATGCAGTCAATTAAAATTTTGCTTTTTAATTTGCTGTGTGACTTCTGCATTCATTTCAGTCATAAATACAAGGAATATTATCCTCAAAGTACCATGGAAATCAGTTACATTTCAATCTTGCTACCCTCCCTTCTTAAACTATTAAGAAGTACTGATTTTCCACATATTTGTTGTGATTCTCTTCAATATATATTGTTAAGTTTGGAAGAGAAACACATAAATAAGCACCATCAAAAAGCTTCACTGAGTTGTAGTGAAAATTCAGTACATGGCATTCAAACAGTGGGGTGTTTATAACCACAGTCAGAGCTTTTTCTCCCCTGCACAGGAAGCAGAGCTGTGCATTTCAGAGAGATCTGTGGGAACCTGTTGGGTGCCACACTGCCCCAGGACAATGCCCAGGGCAGAATGTGTGTGAGCAACCACAGCCACTTCTGAGTCATGGAATTTACATTCTGCTCATCCACATTTGCAAAACAGCATCGTTTAG